AGCGAGGGGAAGCCGACTCACAGCAACCCTGTAAGACAGGGGAGAGCTGCCCCAGTGGTTTTCTGAGACTGGCTCTTAACGGGAGCAGAGAGCCTCACCTGTCTCCTGAGGAGCGGCTGCTGGGTTCGAACAGCTGACCCGTAGTTCCATTTCACTGTTTCCCTTCCTTTTGCTGATGCTGACCACGCTGTCCTTTGCTAGTGACTGGCCTTCCCTGGAGATGTGTCTGAAGTACACGAGCCCAATTCTTCTTGCCTGCAAGGACTATTCGGGATCGTGTTCGTTCTTCTGGCAGTGCGATTTTCTTTGCCAATGTCACAATTCGAATGCCTCCGCTCCCCTTCAGTCCTCCTTTACCAAAGACGGTACTGACGGTAAAATGTCACCTCTCTCCTGTCGTCCCAGCCAGGACTACAAGCTAGGCAGATGTTAGGCGGTAGAAAGGCCTAGACTTGGGAATGGCGGGGCTGGGGGGAGAGCAGGGGGAGGAATCTCGGGAAGGCCTGGGGTTCTGACTTGGGTGACCCGGTGGCATTCACGGAGGCAGCAGCATGGGAGTGAATGGCTTTCCAGGGGCGCAGGAGCCCCGTGCCGGGCATGCTGGGTGTGAGCCCTGGGAGCCACTGGCAGGAGAGGGCACACGGCAGCCCCATGGAAACGATAGGACACAATCTTTCCAGAGGCTGTGGGGCCAGAGGGCTGACCTCCCCAAAGGGCCCAGATGTCCGATGAGAACAGCTGGGACTTTCTGAGCATTTGGTTTGTGCCAGGCAGTGGCAGGCACCTGCCAAACCCGCTGCACTGAGGCGACACTGGCTTCTAGCAACCCTATAGGACAGGGTAGCACTGCCCCTGTGGGGGGTCCCAGACTAACTCTGGGCAGGAGAAGAAGGCCCTGTCTTTCTCCCTCGGGCACCTATGGCATGGCACCAATTCCTCAGGATGGCTCTTCGAGGCAGCTCTCATGATCCCAATTTGACAGAGGTGTGTGGAGGTGTAGGAACTTTCCCAGAACAGCAGAGCCGGTGAGAACCAGGGCCTCGTATGCCGGCTGGTGGCAGTCTTATAAGGAGTGTGAAGGAAACGGGTGTTTCAGGAAAGGCCTGTGGTCAATCTCAGAGAGACCATCGGCCTGACCCAGTGCACACAGCCCAGTGCTTCTTACGTGTCTGTGGAGAGAATGGCCCATGTGCCTTCATGAAGGACCGAGCCCAGGCTGGTGGGCCCTGGCAGGCCCAGTGGGGCACTGATGGCACTGTTTGTGCACCGTGGAAACAGACATGCTCCTCCCTCTCCTCTCTGTCTGGGCAAGGCTCTCATGGGTGCATACAGGGCTCCTATGGGAATGCTTTAGAATTCCAGGGAGGCCAGGATCAGGCTCGGGAAGGTATAGTTGGTGAGCTAATGGGCCGTGGAACCTGAGTGACCCCATCTGAGGACTCCCCGAAGCCCTTGACCAGACGGCAACAAGAGGGACGGTGGCAGGTGCAGGCAGATCTCTGGTGTCACCACAGGCTGCCCAGCTTATAAGCACTGCAACTATTTTGGGCCCTGTATGCTCTCCCCTCCACCCATCTCTGCCCGCCTGTCCCCACTGGGGTTGCAGCAACCTGAGAGTCTCAATGCGGAATTGACTCCATTCTTGTCTCTTCCACATCTCCCAGGAAGCCTGCCCTGCTGAGAAATGGGAACTGCTGGATCCCAAGGAAGATGCCCCAGGGTTGCCTCCCCCTTCCCAACTCCCCCACTGGTTCCTCTGGGCAGTCCCCAGGCCCCGGCAGTTCACGGCTAGGAGCAGACTGCAAGGTCCTTGTCAACACACCCTTTACCAGAATGACGTGGGTTTGCGTCTGAGTCACGTGTCGCCATTTCCGGAAGAAAAAGAGGGCTCTGGGGTTGCACACTGGTTAGTGGAATGAGCAGTGACGTAAGGGAAGCCCCGGCTGGCCCATCTGGGCCTCAGTTTCCCCCCTCTATATGGCAGGGGAAATGATACTTGCAACAAAATTCTCTAAGAAGTGTGGATATTTCTAGGGTCACACACCCAGGAATGAACTATCTGGATACCCGCGTCTCATGCCTCTCACACCCACCCACCAAGTGCAAATACATCCTCTTCCCCACCCTTCACGGGGTGGCCGGTTTCCGGTCCAGCTATGCCCAGAGTAGAGGAGTTGGGTCTCAGTAAGACGAGGTGCCTCCACGGTGCACTGATTGTGTGGGGCCAGGGTTGGAGGTGGGGGAGGCAGATGAAGGGCGGTGCTCCCCTGCGCACACTGGTGGCTGGGTGGTAGTGGAGGCTGGATTGTGGGGCATGGGGGTTCTTGTCCCAGAGCTCCAGAGGGCAATGCCTCAGCCCAGACCCCGGCAGCGCAGTGGGCTGCTCGGCACTCCCAGCAGAGGGTGGGGTGGAGAGGCCTGCGTGAGGAGACCTGGGGGAGAGAGCTCTTGGACGTGGCCAAGCCAGGCTGTGAGTGGCTGCACGGAGAGCAGGTTCAGCCTGCAGTCCTGATCCAGGGCTCTGTCTGGACCCTGCGGAAGGAGAAGGTAGTGAGTGGAACAGACTCCGGGGAAGCCCAGCCTGGCAAGTCAGCAGGGCCTTCCTCAGAGGGGTTTGTGCTGGAATCGCGGCCTCAGACCGAAGCCTCCTTCAGGCTCAGAGCACCCACCTCCACTCAGCCGGTGAGCAGGGCTGGCCTCCTTTGAGGGCTACCTGCATGTAGGTGGTGGGGCAGGAACAGCTACCGATAAATCACCCCACCTTCAGCTCGCAGGAGGGCAGGCGAACAAAGGCGCCCCAACCGGAAACCACCTGGCCATCGCTTGGAGAGTTGCACTGGAAATAATTGGGAGGGGAGGCCCCCAAATCCCACATCTTATGGAATTTACCTACTGCTGCAGGAGAAGATCGGCAGTGAAAAAGACAAATTAGAAAACGTGTGTTATTTTAATGAGGAAGCATGCTTAGGAGATATAAAAAAATCAAGAAAAAGAGACATGAGCTGTGGGAGAGAGGCTCAAATTATGCGTGGGTGGCCAGCCCAGACCTTGGTGAGGGAAGGACACAGGAGAAAAGACCTGTAGGCAGCGAGGGAGCCAGCCGAGGGGGGCCATGTGGTCGTCGGAAGGCGGGTCCTGGTGCTGGAAGACTCTGACTCATGCTGTTGTCGACCCTGTGCACAACAGAAGGGAGTCCTGCCTGGTCCTGCACTGTCCTCACGGCTCCTCCTCCACTTGAGGCCGTGGTTGCAGCCACTGCGTCCGTCCATCTCCTTGAGGGCCTCCCTCCTTGTCACGGCCCCTCTGCTTTACCAAGCTGATGGCCTTCTCCAGGGACTGGTCTCTCCGGACACAGGGCCAAAGGATGTGAGATGAAGTCTCGCCAAGCCCGCCCTCCGGCCGTACTTCTCGCAGGACGGATCGGTGTGTCCTTTTAGCAGTCCACGGTGCTTTCGATATTCTTCTCCCGCACCACAGCTCAGGCCCATTGATTCCTCCTCAGTCTTCTCCGGTCAGTGTCCAATGTTCACATGCACACGTGCAGCTGAAGTGCCGCGTCTTGAGGCAGGTTCATCTGGGGCCTCCAGGGAACAGCCTTGCTTTTCAAGACTAAAGAGGTCTGGTGCAGCACATCTGCCTGCTGCAGCTCCTCTTTCGATCTCTTGACTGCGATTTCCGTGAGCACTGATGGGGGATCCAAGTAAGACAAAATCTTTGACAACGTCAACCTCTTCTCCATTGACCATGATGTTACCTGTTGTCCAGGGGTGAGGATTTGGGTCTTCTTCGCACTGAGTTGTGAGCCACACTGAAGGCTGCCATCCCTGATCTTCATCAGCAAGCGCTTCCCTCACTTCCAGCAAGCAAGGCTTTGTCCTCTGCTCATCGCAGAGTGTTGATAAACTTCCTCCCATCCTGATGCCACACTCTTCCTCGTATAATCCAGCTTCTTGGATGATTTGCTCAACATACAGATTGAACAAGTTTGGTGAGGATACCACCCTGACACACACCTTTCCTGTTTTCCCCGTTTCCATTCTCACAACTGCCTCTGGATCCATGTGCAGGGTCCTCATAAGCTCAATGGCGTGTTCTGGAATTCCCATTCTTTTCAACGTATCTATTAAAAAAAAAAAGACACAACGCACTGCCATCAAGTCAATGCTAACTCAAGGTGAACACACACACACAC